TTTTTGAAATTTGAACCTTGTCATAGTTTACTTTGATGAGAAAGATAGGTTGTGTGAGTCATTAGTAGTCTGGAGGTCAAAAAGTCTAGGAATCAAACCATAGCTGAGAAAACCAAGACAGAGGGACATGGGAAAGTAGCCAAGTGCTAGTTCCATTTTTCTACAAAATGAGGTAGAATCTGCAAGGTGGCCATGCTGTCTTCCATAGAGTGATGACAGACATTATGCCCAACATCTGAAGAGTGTTTGCTTCCTGCCCTATCTAGGGATGTATCTACGCTGTAGAAACAATGTAGCTCAGCACAACTTTAACAGCCATGGCTCCATCCTACAGAATCTTAGGATTTGTAGTTTTGTGAGGTACCAAGTACTTTTTGACAGAGAAGGCAAAAGATCTTGTAAAACTACAAATCCCAGGACTCCATAGGATGGAGCTACAGGACTTAAAGTACTGTCAAACTGCACTATTTCCATGGTGCAGTTGCACCCTACAGCAGCTGAATGTTCTCTGAGATGGGTTGAGTCCAATCTCCAACTGAGCTGGAGGTTAGCTGAGCGCATCCCAAAACTTTCTTGCACTATTGATATCTCTGGAGGAGGCATAACAAACCTATGGGTTGAGGACTTAACTTCTGGGGCAGTCAGCAAAGAAGCTCACTTCATCTTTCATATGACAATCTTTCAGATATTTGACCATGGCTGTCAAATCACCTCTCAGTCTTCTCCTGGTGAAATATACTCAACTTCTTCAGCCTTTCTTCACTAGGGATGTAATGCTTCGCTGGTTTTCTTTTCAAAGAAAGCAATGAGTGAATTTAGCAATTTTCTTCTCACTGCCAGAATGCATTTGAAATCTCTCCAGTTCTTGAAGGCTATTTATAGTTTGTGTTTTACTCTGTGCAAAATTTGCATGTGGTATTTTTGTGCAGGAAACAGCATTTTCTGCACAGAACTTAATATTCTATGTAGTACATCCTTTTGCCTGTACAGTGAATGTTGTTTTTATGCAAAACAACTATAGGAAAAAAAAATATAGAATAAGTCCTAAAAAGTGAATATTCTCATCAGTATATTATTTGCCTTGTCAGGATTCCTCACATTTGAAAAACAAGTTTTTTGACCATTTGTTTTTTAAAAAAATGAAAATTGTTCCCATCTCTGTTCCTCACAGGGTTTGGCTTCCAGAGGTTGGTGGTTTTCTTTTCAACACTATCCAGTTCTGCAGTCAAGAGGCATGAATCCTGAATCCTAATGGTAACTCATTGAAACAATGAGATATGCAAAAGTGTTAACTTGTCATTCACCAATTGATAAAATGGATCTATTTTTCTTGGTGCTACCAACAAGATTCAGGCCACAGTTCTCAAAATGAGTTCAGTACCCTAGACAAATTTTTAAAAACTAGTAAAATGTGGGCCAGACAACACAACTGTTAAGTAAGTTTGTAATAGGTTGCCTGGCCGAACCCAAAGGGTGCTCAGCAATGGCTCCTTTTCATCTTGTAGAGGAATGACCCGTGAGGTGCCATACGGTTCTGTCCTGGGCCCAGTGCTATTCAACATCTTTATCAATGACTTGGATGAAAGAATAGAGACCATGCTTATGAAATTTGCAGATGACACCAAATTAGAAGGAATAGCTAAAACCTCAGAGGAGAGGATCAAAATTCAAAATGACCTTAATAGATTAGAAAGCTGAGCCAAAACTAACAAACTGAATGTCAACAGAGAGAAATGTAAGGTACTGCACTTAGGGCAAAAAAATTAAATGCATAGATATAGAATGGGGGACACCTGGCTTAACAAGGATCTAGGAGTCCTTGTAGACAATAAGTTGAACATGAGTCAACAGTGTGATGCGGCAGCTAAAAAGCCAATGTGATTCTATGTTGCATCAATAAAAGTATAGTGTCTAGATCAAAGGAAGTAATACTGCCACTCTCTTCTGCCTTGGTCAGGCATCACCTAGAATACTATGCCCAGTTCTGGGCAGCACAATTCAAGAGGGATATTGACAAGCTGGAGTGTATCCAGAAGAGGGCAACCAAAATGGTGAAAGGCCTGGA